GGTTCCTTACCTCACGTGTAAATATGACTAAGGGGTCCAAAATTTCTACCCAGTGCTTCCACCTTTCGTAAAATGTCTAAAGAAAGAGATTTAAAAGATACCTGAGCTTGAATATATTTTTTCAGTGATACTGAAATTAGTCAAAATTGGCCAACATCCACACATCAAAGCCAAAGTTGCTCTCCATTACACTGAACCTGTATTTTTTTTATTAAACAAGATATACTCAGCACAGTCAAGTCACCCATCAAAAGCATACGCCACAGCCCTCTGAAACTTTATGCTTGATGTTTCTTGTATGTGATTCATGGAAACTCAGTAACTCAAATAAAGGATCACATCATTGTCAAGAAAATTCAACTGGGGGACGGGTGTATTTTGGCGTAAAGGTTGATATATGTGAGGAAAGATGGAGCTAAAATATTCTTTCATCACCTGTTTTGCAAGCATGGAAAATAGGTTGTTTTTAATGGAAACATTAAGCTTACCACCTTTTACTATAGTATTACTTGCAAAAACAAGTTCATATAAAAGTCATTTCTATTAAGCCACACCTGTTCTACTTACTGAAAATCAACTGGGCAAGAAGCAGAACCCCCAATGTTGGGACTGTCATCTAGAGCAGGGGTCTCCAACCTTGGCAAGTTTAAGCCTGGAGGACTTCAACTCCCAGAATTCCCCAGCCAGCAACCAAGGTTGGAGACCCCTGATCTAGAGGGTAACCCAGAGCTTAGAATACAATTATCTCACAGAGTTGAAGGAATTTCTTTCTCCCCTTGCATTGATAGTGGGCAACACATGCTCTGAGTACATTTCAGGATTCGTAGTACAACCAAAAGGGATGTTTTGTTTTCTCACCCTTAATGCATGCTGTATAGGTTTCACTTCAGAGCAAATATTATTTGCAGCAGAGGCCAAGAACTCTGCAAAGCAATTTAAAATAAACTGTATGGCTCTCAAGACCAAATTTTTCAGATACAATCAAAGAGTATCCCTTTTCTTTAGGGCAATGAGATTATGCCCACTGAAAAAAGATAGATTAAAAGGCTTTGTGGCTATAAAATGCCATTTAATCCAGATATGCAAGGGGTGATACTATATCCATTAAAAAGCATGTAAGCTCCCTTTAAATCAGTAAAGCTTACTTCCGACTAGACTTTAGGAAAGAACAAGTTTAATATCTCCAGCATGCCCTCATTTATTAAACTATGTTTTTAATCACACTGGACTTAATAATTGCTGAGTGTCCTGGAATGGGAATGTCACACTTCTCGCTGTGCTGCTTTTCCTTCGTTTTAAAACGTTTGCTTGTGTATTTGGCCGGATCGAAAAAATAACTCCTTCCACCCCACCCGCCAATTTTTCCCGTATCTCAATTTCCACATGTCCTGGGTTTCCAGGCGAGGGCGAAGCCATTTAGTCCTCCGATCGCCCTTTACCCCCGACCTAGCCAAAAGCAAAACCTTCTCTTCCCCACCACCCACAATTCCCGCCCGGCTCATCTTTTTACTTCCAGGGCTGCACTAGAAAGTTGATCTCCGCCCCTTTGCGATAGCAGCGCCAGGCTTTTTATAGTGAACCGTACTTGACCCTCGTTTCTCCAAAACTGCAAATTCAAATCCATGATGCTCGGATGGCCGCGCCGGAAAGCGGCTGGTTCCGGGAAACGTCTGCAAAAGTCACCCACCCGTGGAGGTCTTTTTGCTATTGCGGGATCCGTCCCGCCCTCGCCTTTGACGTCATTCATGCTCACCGCTGCTCGTTTGTTCTCGGGCGCCGATTCGATTTTAGAAGGGCTCTTCAAACAACTCCCATTTTCACCCGAAAAACTAGAATCCCCGTGGAAGGATTCGCCCCATTTTCTGGAAAAAGGGGGAATGGCCGGTACAGAGTCGCAAGATGTGGGGAGAGAAGAGTGACAGTCTTCCCTAGCTTCAAGGCTAGGAATAAATCTAGGATCACCCCAACACATGATTGCTTTTGCGTTTAGTTTTTTTCAAATCAAACAATTGCAGTCATTATCAAGGCTGCAATTGGCCTGTCAATGAACGGATAGGGAGTTTTTAATCCTTGGGGACTAGGCAACTGATCTAATGCACGCGTTGTGTGAATACTGGCACGTGTGCGATGCGAAGCCAAACGTTTCTGGCTCGGGTCAAGCTGCGCGCTTACTGGCTCATAGCGCGGATCGTGCAGTACGTTTGCATCGCGCTGACCACGACGTGGGTAACCCGCTGGCGTCAATTCCCGCAATATATTGAATTAGAAAGGAATCAAAGCGTTGGGTTTCCAGAGTCTTACTCTAGCCAGGACTGTTGTGCCACCCCAGTCGAGAGGCAATTTTAAAAAAAACCTCTTCCTTTGAAAATGAAAGAATCTCTCATTTTTACAAACTGAATAATAAATAAAGCGTATATGAAACATACTATATCTGGACATTTTGTACTGAGCTAATTGTTTCAGTCAAATCAAACACTTTCTCAATATCACCCAGATACAAATAGCATTCTCATAGTTCAATCTCTTACCGTTTTTGTTAAAATTTGTATACTGCCAAATGACCAGATTTACGTTCTTTGGCCAGAAAATCAAATCAAAATAAAACAGAACATAAGACTCACTTATGTTCTATTTTGCATACCTAGAGTATACTGATGGGAATATAATAATGATCTTTCTACCAAAAATATACAAAAAGTCCCACCCATGCTATATTCTGGAGAACGTCATCTTTCAGAATGAGAAATGTCACAGTTCTTCCTCCATCATACTCAATGAAAGGAAATGGCTTGTGCAGCTTCGCGGCTATTCAGAAATAGATTACATCAGGTCAAATGAATATTAATAATAAATCTGTATACTGAATAGGGGTACTATATAATCTTTCCAAGCAATTTTCTTGTGCAGCATTGATGACACAGAAACATTTTCAAGGGTATAGCCAAGTAATTCAGCCGAGGATTAAACAGAAGCATGAAAAGGAATGTACGTTATTGTGCACATAAGCACTATCCTAGCTAATGAGTGCCAAAACAGATATGACCAAACATGTAATTTTATCTATTCCTCTTTTAAGATGCCCATGTGCTCAAAAGGCTTATAACTCAGTCCTCATTAGCCTAGTAATCATCCAGAAAAATATATATCTGGCTTTCCAACAGAATGACCACCTCTTCAGCCCTATAACTATAGACCCTTTCATTAGTGCCTACCAGTTTCATGCCTTTGTTTAAAAAAATTGTTTCAATCTTGAAAAAAATGGGGGGGGGGGAAGAGTATAACAAAATTAAAAACCAGAATGTTGCAGAGCAATACTAGGTTCAAATATAATTTCCAAGAATCCTTTTAAATCCTAGAACTATTCAAATACTCATTTTCTGAGGAAAAAATTACTGCTGTGCAATGGGCCTGTTTAACAAATAAGAGAACAGAATAACAAAATTGGAAGGGACCTTGCAGGTCTTTTAGTCCAACCTGCTCAAGCAAGAAACCTTATACCAGGGGTGTCAAACTCACGGCCCGCGGGCCAGATGCGTCATGTGCTGGCTCTGCCCCTGCCTGGTTTAGTGAAGAGGAAAAAAGTCCCAATACGTCTTGTAACGACGATGTGACGCAAATTTGACAGCCTTGCCTTATACCATGCAATGGGCCATAGTGGTGCAGTCGTTAGAGTGAAGTACTGCAGCCTACTTCTGCTGACTGCCAGCTGCCTGCAATTTGGCAGTTCAAATCTCACCAGGCTGAAGGTTAACTCAGCCTTCCATCCTTTTCCAAGGTCAGTAAAATGAGGACCCAGACTGTTGGGGGCAATATGCTGACTCTGCAAACCGCTTAGAAAGGGCTGTAAAGCCCTGTGAAGCGGTATATAAGTAAGTGCTATTCCTATTTTAGACAAATGGCTGTCCAATCTCTTCTTTAAAAGAGTATCCACAACTTCTGGAGGCAAATCGTTCCACAGATTAATTGTTCTAACTGCCAGGGAATTTCTCCTTAGTTTTCAGAGAGTTGTTGGGGTGGGAATAAAATAAGAGAGATACTTGCTTAAACTAACCTGACCTCCCAAAGAAAAAATGGAATTTAAATGTAAATTTGGTTACATTTATTTGTAACCATTTATCTGGTTACAAATAAATGTAACCAAATGAATCAGGGATAGCAATAGCACTTAGACTTATATACTGCTTTACCGCTTTATATCCCTCTCTAAATGGTTTAGTCAGCCTATTGACCCCAACAATCTGGGTCCTCACTTTACACCTCGGAAGGATGGAAAGCTGAGTCAACTTTGAGCCTGTGAGAAGTAGCGTGCAGTACTGCACTCTGACCACTACCTCACCATGGCTCATTATATAATTATAAACATGTGAGTTGCAGAAGATTGCGTAGAAATTCCAATGATCATAAACAAGTATTTTGAGATGGCATTGATATTTAGCCCCCTTTGTTTATTTGATGCCAATACTGATATACTGTAATTAGCTTCATTTCTGTGGCTGCAACTTCTTGAATTGCTGTCTGCATAAAGCACGGCAGCTATTCATAAAAGACCAGTGATGCAACACCTGTTCATACAAATAGTGCTTCCATGCATTCCCACAAATGATTACTAGGAATATCCTGATAGTACAAGAGAGCATTGAGCATTGAGGCAGGAGAAGGCAAATTGAAAATATTCTGGTGGGATAAATGAGACTACAAATAGTCTCGAAAGCAAAATCCAAAGTTTTCTTTTTGGAGTTCTTTCAATTCATAGTTATGCATTTAATTGTGATTTTAAAAAATCTTGTTCAAAAATAAATTCTTTCATTTTTCACAATAAATTCTCTATATAATTAATATTCCATCAGTATAGTCTTGAAAATCTATACCCAAAGTATTACTAAATATTCACAGCAACATTTCCAAAATGTGTGAAACTTTAGTGTTGGTATTATTAACAGACTTTGGTTTGCAGCTTCTTTTTGAATTTATTTATCAAATAATAGCATAAATTCTTCATTTACTCTTCCTAAATTTTTTATTTTTTCATTTCAGTATTCCAAAATATTTAATAGCCTCTTTTTTATGCTGAATAATCATGATTATTTCATTATTAGTTCACAAAGATAATTCCCAAAGAGACATCTGTGTTGGTTGTTTCTCAAGGGAGTTAAAAAAAGGAACCATGAAGATTCATGCTATGAATGCAACTAATTTACTCAATGTGCGTGAATTGGGTTACAGTTTCATTGTTTACAAAGATAGGAAACCTGAATATACTACAAACTAAAAAGCATCACTATTTTTCCACACTAAATACAAAATGCAGATATTTTTACTTCAAAATGAATGATTTTTAAATGAGAATTATTTTCTAGTATTTTGTGTAGGAAATATGTCCTTTTAAACTAATTTGGGGTTAAATTAATTGGCCTATGAGGGAGGGCCAAAGCCCTGTGAACATTTAGACATTCATCATAGCAAAGTAGAAAATATTCTGTGGTTTTCATTATCATCAGGGCTAGTCTCACAGGATGATTGATTTTGGCTTCAGGAAATAGATTCAACCATTAATCCCGTACTGCTCATCATTTTATTTATTTACTTTTGAAAAATATTCTTTTGAATCTTCTGGGTTTGGCTTAATCTGCAAAATAAAAGAGTTACAAAATAAGTACTGAATTATGCATTTGATCAAGGCAATTAATTAAATGCTGTACAGTGTCCCTAGGCACATAAATACCAAACATCCCTTTATTATATTTTACAAGATAGTAAGGAACTTAAAAGCATACCTACTTCCAATTCAGTCGGCAAATGTTCAAATTTTTCAATGATAGTGAACAAGTACAGTACTTATAATTCATTCTTGGGATCTACAGCCATCAGTGTCCCCTGTGGTCATTTTTTTTTGAAAAATTTATTTGGGTTTTCACAAAGTAAAAAACATAATACAAATAAAACATATTTTTTGAAAATAGCATGGTCCCAGGTTATCACTTCTTCATACAGACACAAACTTAATTTCATGCTCATTTTGGTGTTCTATTCCACATCTTATTCCTGTTTAACATTTTGTACATAGTTTTTTCCCTCTTTTAATTTTCCCAACTTTATTTTGATTATCTCATCTCAATTCAAATCATTATATTATACTTTTGTCTGTCCTGTTTCAATTTCATATTATCTTTTCTCATTAAACAAATTTTCCCCTGTAGTTACTAATTGGAGTATGACACCTTTATATCTTTTAATTTTATCCATTCAACTCTTATTTAAGCTTCAATGTATACCTTTAAGATTATAACATTCAATATAATACATAACTTCCAATCGAATTCTGCTTGGTACATTCTTAAAATACACACTATATTCCTAAAAAAAGATTTATTTATAATATATATATATAATATATATATATATATATATAATCTATATCTATATCTATATCTATCTATCTATCTATCTATCTATCATCTATCTATCTATCTATCTATCTATCATCTATCTATCTATCTATCTATCTATCTATCATCTATCTATCTATGTATCTATCTATCTATCTATTATCTATCTCTATCTATCTATCTATCTATCTATCTATCTATCTATCTATCTATCTATCTATCTATCTATCTATCTATCTCTGTGTGTGTAAATAAAGCACTCATTCCATTCCAATTCAATTCTATCATTAATATTCATTAAAATCTTAACATCTTCATTGATAATAGTTAAAATGTTCCCATCCTTTCCTAATTTCTCTTATTCACTTTATTTCATTTATTTATTAACAAACATTCCACTAGATTACGATAAATATTTTATCCATCATTTTAATCATATTTTCTAAAATTATTTCTATTTGTAATATAACAATACTATCTTATGTACCTTTGCAGAATCCCTTTTACAATTAAGTTTTCACCCATTGTCTCTAAACAGGTTTATACTTTCAATTCTTATACCTTTTCTGTTTCTCTACATCTTGTTTCTGTTCTTTATAACTTATTTTCCTTTCCTTCTTCCCCCTCTTCTTCTCCCTTTCCTTTTTACCTCCTTGTCTCTCTACTTCTAATTCTCTCTTCTGTAATCCCCTCTTCTGTTGCTTTCTAATATTATACTTATTTTTCAAACTATGCTTCCTTTTTTTGGTTGTTTTTTCAAATCTTAAAATTTCATTCTCTTTCCCCCTTCCTTTTTCCACCCCCACATAAAATTACTTGATCATTAAAGATGGCTTCTTCTTTGTCCCAATCTTCTTGTTCTGCAAGCGTTTCTTGTTGTTTCTCATAGTTCCAGATCTCAATTTCTAAGAGTTAAAATACGAAGCCAAAAGAACCTCTCCCATCTTGTGCATCTTCTTTTTACTTTTTAAGTTCCATTTTCAGTTCTTCTAAAAGTGGTGCCATTTTAAACACTTTTAAACAACCACCCAATTGATTTTAGTCATTTAAATGCAATAACCAAAAATCTAAAGATCACCAAGTAATCCAAGTAATCCAAAGAATGTTTCTTCTTGTTTCTTTTTTCCACTTTCTCTTCCTGGGGTTCTATTATTTTGTTGCCAGGTTTCAGTTCAAATGTATCTTTTGGGAATCTTGTTGAGATTTCACTGTAAATTCCTTTTAATTCCAGGTAGTTTCCTCCATTTTTCCAGATCCTGCCCTTTTATTCTTTTTCTCTCCTTTCCTGCTTTTAAAAGCTTTTAAGTATCCAGAAATCTTTATTATCCCTTTGACATTTTATTTTCAGCTTAAATGCCTATTGATGTCAAAGTGTTTTTTTTTTTTTTTCTTCAATTTCTTGCTTATGTCTCTTAGCTGTCAGTATAAGGAAGGAAAGAGAAAAAAAACAAGTCCTTTCCCTTCCCTCTCTCCTTCGCTGCTTCAAAATCTTCTTTGGGAACAATGTTATTTTTTTATATTTTAAATTCCAACGTTGTTGCTTTTGCGGCTTAACCCGGTCAACCAAAACTTTCTCTTCTTATCTTCCTCCTGCACATTCTTTTCCAGTCGAGTTCTTCTTTGAGGTGGCCATTTCTGACCACCACTGCAACCGTCTTCGGGAAAGGGAGTAATGGCCAGCTGAGGAGGAGAAGTGCGGCTCTCCTCAACCCTGCTGGCAATCTCCCCCCTCTTCATCACCTCTACGGGGTGGCTTAGCCCCAAAACCAGCGGCGAGCACGGATCGAAACCGCACACAATCGCAGTTTCGGTCTGTCAGTGAAGAGACTCAAACCGGAAGTCCTCCTCTATGGTCATTTGATTGTGATCTGGATGCCCAGTGCCCGGCTTTCAGTTATGGTATCACAGCATCCCATGGCCACGTGATTGCCATTTGCAACTTTCCTTGCCAGCTTTCTACAAGCAAAGTCAACGAGGATTGTTAGGGTTTGGGAATTAACCCCTAGAAGAGTATTGCAGCAGTAGTCAAGCCAGGCAACCAAAGGAGAGCGGAAGGGCCCCAGAGTATACACACACTGAACACAAACACTGTTTGTAGTTTAAATAGTTTTTAATCCAGTTAGAGTTTAAGCATTGTCATTCAGTCCATTAAGTCATTCACAGTATTTCCATCCAGTAAGACTCACTAGTATAGTCCAAGTTAAGAGTCCTTGCAATATCTTTATCAGCCGATAAAGATATCTTCTCCTCCTCCGGTTTCACTCTCCAGAGAAACAAACGCTGGATATTCAGTAGAATTACGCAGTAAATCAGCAAACAGTAGCAAACAATAACAGTTCATTCACAGGCACTCACAGTCAGTAATCACAGTTAGTCACAGCAAGACA